TTTCTATTATCAAGTTTTTATCCAATTGGTAAACACAAAAGTTGAGATTCTTCCCTGTTTTCCCAGTTGTACTTGGTACTATTCACTGCATACACTGTTTTACCAATTCTTTTACCTAGATGACTTATGGTCTCCATACAAAACAGCTTGTAAGGGGTTCTGTCCCAGAGGTTCCAGCGTGCTGGGAGGGGAATTACAACCGTGTGCAGCTTGGGTAGTTTCATGTCACGTGGTTCCTCCACAGACAGACCTCTCTTAGGTACCCAGGCCAACCCCTGGGAGCCCAGCATGAAACTCTGATAAGTTTTAGGCACATGCTCAGCTGAACTGTGTAAAAACATGACCCTGGTTCTGAGCCACAAACATGGCCCCAAACACCTGCCCAATATGCTGGTGCCTGCAAAGGACACCTACAAGACCATTGGTGATCCACACAGCTGCTGAGGAAGTGAATGGAAGGAAGGGATAGGGCTGTTCAGAAGGTGTGCTATCTGGTCTAGCTGTCACTTGTGGACATTGATATTTTAGACCCATAAGTGTCCCTATGGCTCCTTATTACATCCGCAAATACCAGGAGAGTGACCGAAAACCAGTCGTGGATTTGTTCTTCAAGGGCATGGTGGAGCACATCCCTACCACATTCCGCCACACCTTGTTGCTGCCCCGAACCCTCGTGTTCTTAACTGGGGTGCCGCTCTGCATTCTCCTGGTCTCTGGGTCCTGGCTGCTGGCTTTCCTGTCCAGCTTCACCCTCCTGGTTTTCCTAAGGCTCCTTGTTGGATACCCCTGGAAGCAGTATGTGCTCACATGTTTGCGCACTGACCTGGCCGACATCACCAAAACCTACCTGAGTGCATCTGACTCCTGTTTCTGGGTTGCTGAGTCTGGGGGGCAGGTGGTGGGCACTGTGTGTGCTTTGCCTGTGGAGAATCCACCACCGGGGAAGAGGCAGTTGCAGCTGTTTCACCTTTCAGTGGCCATGGAGCACCAAGGAGAGGGGATAGCGAAAGCCCTGGTCAGGACTGTCCTCCAGTTTCCCGCGACCAGGGCTATGGTGAAGTTGTGCTTGACACCAGAATTGTGCAGCAAAGTGCCCTGGCTCTCTACCTACGCATGGGCTTCCAGGAGACCTGCCAGTCCTACTTTAACATTGGCATGAGGCTTGTGGCTATTCCTATATTCCATTTAACATACCGGCTCCCAACAGCTGGGCATGGTGGTGCACATTTGTGATCTCTGCATCAGTTGGGGGAGAATTGCTGGGAGTTCAAGGGCAGCCTGGAAGGTCAGTCAGGATCTGATGTGTTTAACTGCACTAACAAGTCA